TTCATTTGTTATGACCCTGCAGGGCACAGCTTAGCTGTGTTTCATTGCAATCACATGCCAGTAACAAGAAGCATCTTCCACCTTCTCAAATCCATCTCTGAGGAAAAGCTGCTGCCAACAGCTATTAGTGTCTGCCACAGCCTCTCCTGAGGCAATTTTGCCTCAACTGTTGGCTAATGCCAGGGGACAGGGAGATAGGGGTTCCCCAAAGGATATGTGACACCCACAGTGATTTGGGGTCAAGTGTAGGATCGAGCATGCCTGCTGAAGTGAAGTGCACGCGTGTTTGCTACCTGACTCAGCACCTCAATCAACAGGGAAGCAGAGAAGTGCCTTTACACAAAGAGACACTTGGGAGGATAAGTACAATGTGGTTCTTTTAATAATTTTTAAGTCCGAGTGCATCTCAACATGGTGGGTTTTTTGCTAAAGAAAGATCAGGAGAAAAGAAGAAAGAAATCTAGTTAAAAAAAAAACACTGAGAAAATGAATTATAAAAAAGCAGCAACAGGAGGAATAATAGTGCTTTGTTTACTCTTTCCCTTTGAGCTTTGTGGACATATAATAGATTTCCACTTCTTGGTCCTACTTTCTATTTTTTCCTCCCTTGCCCTCTGTCTTGCTTCATTTTTCCCTGTGACCATTAGCACTGTGGGAACCTACCACCCACAGTGTCCTTTCATTGCCTCTCCAAAGAGGCCTGAGAGTGCAGCCACCCTGCACAGACTAACCTGGACTCGAAGGGCAGTGTGATGTTGTAGCCTGAAGCCAGCTGCTGTTTGTATAGCAACATGACATTGCAGGAAAAGGCTTCGGTCATGCTCAATTTTGCTTCTGGTATTGCAAAAGCAGCACATCAGTGGTGGAGCTGTGCAGATTGGATGGAACTAATTATATTAAATTGTTCTGTTACAACTTTTTTAAGAGTGTTGCATGTAGAAGTGGGGGCTTTTTGACAAGAAGTTGATTCATATGAGGCTTCATGGAGCATTTATTTTTTATATTTAAGAGTTCAGGTCTCCTTCTTCCATGAGAAAAATGAGAGAAGGAAATCTTTACCAAAGTCCCTGTAGAATTTCCTCCCAATTTCTTCAAGTGTTTTCCTTTCTCTGCCTGAAAGAAACAAGCTGCACAGATAGCATAAAATGTGCAGAGAACTGAACTCCATCTTCCTCCCTGACTGACTGTGTCCCCTGTGAGTATCATTAGTAGTTTAATTAAGAAGGATCATAGAAACATTAAGGTTGGAAAAGGTCTTTTAGATCATCAAGTCCAACTGTCAACCTAGCTCTGCCACCATGTTTATCATTAAACCGTGTCCTCCTCTGTAGGATAGAAGCTTTCTGTTTTAAAACTCCAGCCTTTCACTCTTAGTTTCCAGTTGTATGAGAGGCAATTCCTTTTCCCGGATACTGTATTTTGCAGATACCTGGCAAGTGCTCCTAAAATCTGGTACTAAAGACTGGTGAATAACTTATCAAGGTTTTTTATGATTTGAAGGTATATGACGGAATACTCATGCTTCCCAGAATTCAGTCCAGCTTGTTTTCCTTGGTCTAAGATTTTACTGAGACCACCAGAACACTCCTGGTCAGGGCAGGTAATTATCTTCTTTCGTCACTAATGATGACAACTGGGTTCCTAGTGTTACAACACTGTTACTGAATTTACCTGGTGGGGCTTCATCATACTTTTAATGAACATTAGTTAAAAACATCTGCTAGACAAATTCCTCTGGAAAATTCCATTTACAGCAAGTATAGAGATAAGAGATAAGTTTAAAGCTACTTTGCATACTTCTGCTTAAAAAAAAGCAGCAGCACAGAAGTTAGTGACTTTTTTAGTGCAATCAGGAGATTCAGAGTGGCAATTAAATGATATTTCTTTTTTTCTTTTTAATGTGTTCCTTGAGATTTTAGGTTTACTAATTCTGTTTCCTGCAAGTCATCACATTTTTTTTTCTCCAACTTAGTCTTGCTCTTACAACTACCTCATCTTTATGATGGTTATAACACGTTATATTCTAAATTATCTGCTTTATTGACCCCACACGTGGGTCTCAGGACTAGCACTGATGAACATTTTCCCTTCATGGGCGGACACAGGAACTCCAGATCTCTAATACCAAAACTCAACCCGCAGACAGGTTACTTTGGCCTCTTGTGACTTGGACTGTGTTAAGGATCCAAGTATTTGAGACTGTTGTTTTTCAGTTCATTTTCTTTTTACTGCAGTCTCTTGTGTGCTTCCCAGGCCATATTTTATGAAATAGCTGTATAGGCACAGTGATTTAAAGTGGAATGTGTGTACTGGCCAGAGGTGGTGGCCTCCAGCTGTGCTCACTTGAGTCTCCATCTGCATGTAGGCAAAATCAGAAGCACCCATTTCTACTGCTGCCTGCAAGCACAATGTACCTACAAAGAAGCCTCTAGGATATCTGCAGCTCCAACTAAGGAAGCTGGAGCTAGGGTCTTATGGGAGCAAGCGCATGTAACAGGAAGGTGAAAGAAGTGATTGCACAGGTCTGAATTTCTGAATTCAAGCTCGTTTGTAAGTGCGAAGAATAGATGCACACACTTGTGAAGGCAAGAGTTGTTGCCGTCATTCGAGTAAGTCTGGGAACCCTATGTAATATTGCTTCAGCGCTGAAGTTCAGTTTCTCTCAGTTCAATAGCTCCTCTTCTTTTTTTCTTTTTTTTTACTTCTTTTTTTTCTTTTTTTTTTCATTAGGATATAACTCAGCTCCCTGTTTCTTAACTACAACTCTTCTTCCATCTACCTGTCAACAGTTAGAGATGTAGGAAAACAGGAAGAATGGAGGAAACCATTCTTCTCATTATTTAATTAGAAAAAAAATTCTCAGAAACCTTTCTGCAGTCTTTGTTTTTCTAATTTTAGAATACGCTACACTTACAGAAAAGACATTTAACTTTGCTATTTTTGAGAAATGGAGGAAAGTGATGTTATGTCCTTATGTACCCCTTGTGTCTGCTTACATTTATCAAGTAAACAATGACAAATATGCTAACTTGTTTTGTCATAACAAGATAAGTGGTAATGGTGCTGTTCTCTAGGCCAGGCAACCCACAATTATTTGATATTCAGCCACTCTGGAAAGTTCATTTTGCTGCCAGCTGTTCACCAAGGATCAGTCACAAAAAAACGCAGAGATTTGGGAGCTCTCAGCAGTATTTGTTCTTTTGCAAATGAACAAGCAAGTGAAGAATGTTCTTCTTTTCTGCTCTGCTAACCAGGAGCCTGTTTCGCATGCTGCTTGTAGTACCTTCTGTTTTCCTCACGCAGTAGTATTGCTGTGTCCCAAAGAAAGGGAAGCATTAAATGCCAGGAGAAAAAAACTTCAGTGCAGGAAAGGACTTTAGTGAAACTAAACACAAATCCTCCATGAAAGGAGGAAAGGCTGTAGCCTCAATGAGATCAGATGGCAAAGTGATACCGTTCCATTGGTGTTCCTCTGCTTTTGACTAACAATCTGATGCAGAAGATTGTGCTACAGCAGTAACATCTGCAGGCTCCAATTGTACTTGGCAGACAGCTGGAACAGACTTGCTGGTCTTCATAGCCTGCAGTCTTGTCAGTCCAACCTGCAGCCTTACCAGTTTTCCCGAGCAAAGCGGAGCTGGGCAACAACCTCCCTGAAGTGGAGGAGTCTCAGAGCACAGGCACCTTGGGTGTGTATGGAGGCATGGAAAAGAAGTTGCCTGACCTTTCTATTGCTACTATTTTCCTGAAGGTGTGGACAACCTTTATTCTAAAAGAAAGGAAGCCATGTTACAAAGGTACTTAATAAATTTCACGAACAAGTATCTGAAAAACATTCTTCCTATTCAGAAGAAATGAATAAAGTGATTTGTCATTTTGATACCGAAATTTTCTACAATTCCTATTTACATTGAAAGTATGGTGCATTCATGTAGCTTTTTTGGACCTGACTCTATAGACCTAAAACATGTATCGAAGTTGGGAAAATCTTTCTTTGTAATCAAGTTCATATTTTTGTTTGAATAATAAAAAAAATCTTAACACTTTTATGTGTTTTGATACTGTTATTGGTCTCCTATCACACAGAATTAATTTTTGCTATTTTTGGACCCAAGGATTTCGGAAAAAAACAGTAGCAGAAAGCATACAAAGGCACTATATTGAACTTTCAGCCTATGAATTACTAGAAGTAGCATAAAGTGCTATTAAAAAAAACAGCAAAATAAAAGTGTTTGGTCTTGATCGGTTCCTCAGTTTGCAGCAAGAGATATTTAGGTAGGAAGGACACCTGCCCTACAGCAAGCAAATGCAAAGTACATGCCCTGAATCATGCCACAAAATACATGCTACAGGTGCTATGTTATGGAAACAGTTTCCGTAGAGAATTAAAAATAGTGACTGATGGGATAACATGGTTTCAGCACAGCAAATTAGGAATAATTAACGCTTTTGGAGCACTATAGAAATATGGGCAAAGAGGATGTTTTTTCAAAGCTGGATCCAGGCAGTAGACATGGGACGAGGAGCATTGGGATGGTGGGAGTCAGTAACAATTCGGCTCACAGACTCTTCAATTCCAGTGGCACATCAAACACTCTTTGCCCAGTTTTCTGAAAACTATCCCAGAAGCATCCTTGGTTATCTTTTGAAAAGTCCTGGAATCAGGATGCAGATGGTATGAAAAACATTGCCAATGTCTTTCCTATATGATAAATATTTTGTTAGTGTGTTCAGCACTTGGACAAATGGATGGTTCTAATGTTGGAGGCCAAGGAAGTTTTATTATGGAAAAGCAGAAAATTCTGCATGTTTTCACACCTAGCTCTCCAAAAAGAATGAATTCCTCAAAAATTTCTATTTTCCCTGGAGTTCATTTGCACAAATGAAAATAGAGAAATGATGTTTTAAAAAGCAACCTATCTGAATTAATACAGAGAATAAATTAACATAGTTTGTGTGATCTCTCTCAAAACCAAGAACTCAGTCAAAAACATGTAATATCTAAGCATATACTTGAATAATTTTATGGTATATAATATTTACAAGTAAGCTTGTTATTATGAAGTAGTCGACAATGTTGCATTGTGCCAACTCAGTTGCATCCTTTTAGTCACCTAGCTAACTTAAGAGTCTATTTAAGCAATCTTTAGCCAGATCTGCAATCCTACCATCAGTGGATTACATATATACATTTTGCTGACAAAAGCCTCCATTATGCATAAAGCTAGAAAGTCAAAACCTGTGCTGTTCCCACTTTGTATTTTTTATTCATATAGGCACTCTGCTGGCAGCAGTGTGATTTGACAGTGTAATTGCAATAGCATCCTTTCCTGGCTGAGCTATCCAGGTGATAAATTACACTTCATCACATCCATCTATGTACGAGATGATAGCTATGCTTGTTGATTTGATACCTGCTTGTATGCATTGGTTCTTTAGAGGTCTGTATCTGCTGAGATCATTCAGGTAGACTGACGTCTACCCCAGCAGGAAATTCAGTGTAAGAGAAACCTCTCTGGCACGAAGCAGTATAGGTCAGAATCAATTTTAGCTCTCCTTACCAAAGAAAAACAACCCATCCTGCAGAGTCAAACATACTGCACCAGTCTGAGCCTCCACCCAGAAATCTGGCAATCTAAATTATGCTCTCTTATTGAGCAGTACTTCCCTCCACAGGAACAATGAATCAAACTGAAGGGCATAAATAAATAAATCTTTACACTTCCCTGTTCTTTCTACCTCCCAATTAATCGTACGTCATTTTGGAAAACCTAAGTAATCCACTGCTATCACAGACTATGTTTGCAGCATCACGCTGTCCTCCAGGAACTGGGGGTGACGGCTGTGGTGGCTTCCTGTTTCCACCGTGCCCCCACACTCCACAGGAGCAGGGTGCCCAGGTCGCTCAGGTCACCTGCTCTAGTCCTAATCCCCGCATGTGTTCTGCCGCCCTGAGCTCAGCCACTGGTTTTGCCGTTAGTCGCTGCTACTGCTGCCGCTGTGAGCTTTGCCTGCTGTGCTGGCAGCCAGCTTCCTGACTACTCCCTTCTCTGGTCTCTCCAGCTACTGCACAGCCAGCCCTGCCGTGTTTCTGGTCCTTTACAGAAAGGGCAGCGGTGCAGGCATCCACGCAGAGCCCCAGCCACGCAGAACAGTCTTACTGAATTAAGTCTTTTTTCTTTCCTAAGGGAAGAAAAAAAGAAGAAATAATCTGCTTGGAATCTTTTTCCCCACATAGACACATTTTTCCACTTCTCGGGACCAGAGCAGTTTATTAGGACCGCTATTTACCCCAGGATAGTTACCGAATTTTTTGCAAATGTGTTTTCTACAATTTTTAACTTAGTGGTTTTTAACACAAAGGTCCAAAATGCTGGAAAATAAATGTTCAATTAAACCTGATAAAGCCTGGTTCGTTGTTCCCTTCCCTCTCTAGCAGATGCCAAGAGATGATGTTTTTTTTCTAGGCTGTGGAGATCTGTCATTGTCCACAGCAGTTCTTGGGAAAGGGCTGCTTTTCAGACCATCTGCTGTCACAGGGGAAACTGGCTGATTTTGTCCAAGCTGCTGTTGCTGCATGAAGAGTTTTGAGTTGTGAAATGCCTGGTTAGCACTTCCATGACAGGAGTTTCTAAAGTTACTGGGTTTCGAGTTGTCATGCTAGGCTCTCTCTACACAAGGTCCAGGGGTGAGGAATTATCACCAAACAGATCAAGTTTCTAGCCTGAAAGGAAGTTCTGAATTTACTGCAGAAGGCCTGCTGGTACAGGATTTCTGGTACCATTTCACAGAGCATCAAATAGTCCTGATAAGCTTCAGATAAGTACTCTACATTTTGGGTGCTTATCTTTAACTCCCAATCTTTTGAAGTTTGCCCCTCACGCATTTCAAATCTGTGTCCTTTAAACAGAGTTTGTTCTAAATGATATAATTAAAATTTCTTTGTGTCTTCTTAGAGAACCCATATGTTCATTCTTGGTCCCCAGAGGGAAGACTAAATTAACCCTGCTGTCATTTCTTGAAGTATTACCAAATGACATTATTTACACTAGATTTAGCCATAAGACTCTACTTCCAGGGCAGTGTGTCCTGGAATAGTGCAAAAGGATGTTTTCCTTTCTTTTCAGTCTTTGAGGCATGAATAACGTAGATGCATTTTTCCTTTAGGATCTCAGAGGACAATCGCTACTGACAAGTTTGTAGGCCAAAATAATGCAAAGATATTTATTTAAATGTCTTTTCAAAAGGGCAAAGGATAGCAGATCAAAGATATTTTCACCAAAAGTTTTCTTTATCAGTGGAGGTTCTCTGGCTCTTCATTACCTACAGCATTCTTGTCCCCACCACAACCAACCACCCCACCCTTCTTCTGATACGTAGGCAGCAGTTCCTTCCAATGCTCTGAAACATAGAGGTCTCTCTGTCTTTTCTCTGATTTCCTTCCTTCAAATTCTCCCTTCATATCTCAGTGATGTAAAACAGCCAAGATAAGAAATAGCTGTCTCTTCCCAGGAGGAGACTGACGGATGTGCAATTCAGAAGAACAATCCCCTTTTTCCTACTGCCTTCCTGGAATGGGGGATGATGGGGGTTGGAGGGGAAGTGAGAAGTAAGTTAACATCCCTTTTGCCAGCTGTGCCAGCTACTATGAGCAAAATAGACACAGCAAAGCATGTCAGCATTGTACTGCTCTCCCCCTGAAAGAATAGAATTGTTAAAAAAAGATAAGATAGGGAACAGGGGTGACCAACAACTTGTATGTTTGGTCAATATAGAAACCCAAACAACATAGCGTAGTGCATCCTATTGCTTTTAGCATCTGGCATAACTGTTGTCTTTGGTCATGTAAGTCATGTTTCATCTAGGTCCCCTGTTACTAGAAAAGGATGACAGGAGAGTTGGTCTTACCACTATGGGGTAATAGTTACATTTGTTGTGGTTTTGTACAAAGACTGTCATATTGGGGTTTGGGTCTATAAGAGTTAAAGAAGTAAATTTGTGTGGAGGATGAGAGTTTTGCTATTGTGAGATTTTTGAGAGTGGCTTTTTTGCATGATTTTTATATTATTGCTGTGGCTTAATGAGGAAAACACAAAAACTAATGTTTTCTTAGTTATCGAAATATAATAAAAGCAGCAGAAGCAGAAAAATCTTTCTCACTTACCTTGGGATCCTAGTTCACATTGTAGCAGGAATTCACAGCCAAGAACATCACATTTTATTATGGTAATGAAGTTCTCCAGTATGCAACAGGAGTTTCTGTAATTAAGGAATGCGATTGGATTTAATGGGACGACTGAGTTCAGACCAACTGGCTATTTGCATTAGAAGATTTTTTTTGAATGAATAAGAAGAAGCAGGGCACTGAAATGTCACAAGAATTTCTTGGAAATTTGTTACTATAGATACCCTTTCTCAGTGAATTGGAGAAGGGAATTCCATGAGGGCTTTATTATTACCATACTAAGATCTTAAAGGATTCTTTTCATCATGACCATTTTCCCAGTATCTTGCCTACTGCATCAGTGGTGACCTAAACTTCAAAATCTAGCTTGTGTGTAATAAAGAAGCACGGGAACACCAGTAGGAACAAGCACTCTCCTAAGATACTAAAGCCAGTGTTCTTTATAACAGTGGGCAGCAGAAATCAGTAATGCCACAAAATAGGAGTTAATGTTAGTGTGACTGTAATCTACTTTAGGGAGTTATCCACATTATCTGGTGACCTAGTGTTGTACAGAGAGAAGGAAAGAACATATGTATGTATGCATAAGGAAGGTAATGGGCAGCACTCATTAAAGTCTGGGGAAACCGAAATATTATGCTTGGGTTATCAGAAATAAGAACAGCAGAATAAATGTTCTTAATGGACTGTGTGAACAGTTAGCACCATGAAAACTGAGAACTGTAGAGAAATTGTCCAACTGTGCTAAAAGATTGTACTTGAGCAGTGAAATTGAAATTGAAACAAAGTTAGCAGCTGATCTGGGATCTCTCGCTACGAGAAGCAGTTGCCTGAGTGGCAGAAAAACCAGAAAAGCGAAGAAAAGAAACCAGAAGAAAAACTATTATACTTCACAGCTGGAAAACGAATTACACTTGTGTGTGTGTAAGTACACACTAAGGAAATAAAGTGGATAGGGTTTGGAGTAAATGCCTCCAAGACTTGCTTTAGCAGCTTTCCAATTCAGTTAAACAGATTCCAGGATCTGACTAGGGAATCCCTCTTCTTACCTTTCAGGATGCAAAAGGGAAGAGGTTACAAATTAAACAATATAATGAGAGAGTGGGACTTTTCTGGGGACCATTGCTTATCTCCATTAGATGGAGAAATGAGACTCTAGTTATGCAGCTTGCAGATGCTGAACAAACAGTGCTCAGCCCCTCAAATGTGTGCTTGGTGAGATCCGTCTGTGTGACAACAGCTGTTGCTGATAAAGTGTGGCAGGACTCAAAACCTAATTATTGATCCAGCATGTGTCAGTATTGCTGCCTTTTCATGAAAAAGACCTGCCTTTCAAAAATCAACTGGAATAATTTATTAAACACTGGAAAAAAAGAACAAAGAAGGAAGGATCTAGTGAAGAGGCAGCAATGAAACTGTTTTACCATGCTGTCAGCAGCTGAAGCATTGAAATATCTTTTATAAATTAAATGGTGAGAGATCTATTCTGCTAGGAGGGGAAATGTAGTAGAGTTCTTCCAGAAATTTGCTGCATTTGAGATCCATCCTGCTCATTGAATACGGAGTAGATATTGACTTTTCCATGATCATGGAAAAGAAAGACAAGACAAATATGTGATTTTTCTGTTATCTTCTGATGCCTGAAAATGAAGCTGTGGCTTTGTGGGGTAGAGCAAAGGGCCCCTGGAGAACACTCTGTATGGTGGTTGAGCCATACCTATGGTAATGATTCACTAGAGGTCTGATTCCTCAGGCTACATGTGGAGAGTTCTTTTCCTCCACCAGGCTTTTAAGTTTAGAAGAGTCTTGCATCTTATGTCAGGGAAAAACCACTGGGGTTTTTTTTTAGAGAAAACAGGGGTTTGTTTTAGGGCGATGTTACTCCCCAGTCCAGAAGTATCAAGCTTTACTCGGTGTTACACTTTAATTTTGATCCTCAATAATTCCCACACAGAACTTTTTCAGAGTCTGAGTTCTTTGATACCTTGAGTTCACATCAGGAGAAAAGCTACATATTTTCTCTAAGTGATTTCTTTTAATTTAGTGAGAAAATAGGCTTTCTGGCAAAAAGGGTTTACAGAAGCCACATACAACCAAGGAAAATATTCCACAAAAGCATTACACTTAATAACAGGCTCCTAGAAACAAACGGACTTCCCTTCCTCCCCCCAAACAGTATTCTGAACTCTGCTTCTACACCCTTCCAAAGGTTTTACTAGGCAGTAGGCATTGCTGTGGAGCAGGGAACCTTCATTGCACTTAGCAAACACCAACCCAAAACTTAAGTGAAATACCACAACTTAAGTGAAATACCATTCAATCGGTTTTAAGTTTGCCACAAGAGGAAGAAAAGAGTAAAGGAAAAAAAGAGAGAAGAAGGAGTAAAGAAAGAAAGAGAGGGAGAGAAATAATTACTGCCAAGAGGTCACAGGTTGGCTGGTCCGGAGACAGAAGGCCAAACTAAGATGGAGCCTATGTGTGCACCTCTTTTATAGACGTTGGCTACTGTGGTCGTGCCCTCCAGGAGGGACATTGGGGTCACTGACCCCTCACTGTCCCCCTGGCCAAAGTGAGGGGTGCCATAGCCAATTAGAGGCTCCAGGGGGCACAGTATGGGCAGGCTCCCAGGTGGGTGTCCTGCATGGTCCCCGTGCCATGTGCCATGTGCCTTCGGACCGTGGGTCCACGCTGGCCGCAGGCCTTGCCCTGTGGACAGGCCTGGCCATTGCCTGCAGGCCTCGGCCTAGCCCTTCCCACACACACAACACACAGAGAAGATGGTTGATTCGACCCATCAATCAAACAACTCAGTAAGATACAAATCTGGTCTCTAACAGGAGGCCAGACCACTGCCATAATAAGGTGGTACCTGCCGAAAACATCAACAGTCTCATTAGTGGTCTCTAATTAGCAGATCTCTTCCAAACAGGGTCATGAGATACAATCACTGAAGTTTCAAGAAGGTAAACAAGGAAACAGAGCTTGGGGGGGTATTATTTTTTTAGCAATATTATATTCCTTGAACATGGGCATTATAGTCCTAGGTTATTTGCACACTGTTTCTGTCAAAGTATTTGTGAGATCCGTTCTCAGGCTTTTGACATTCTTTCTCAAAATCAGTATTTTGAGCTAACATCACCTATGAGGAGTTCCACAGAAAGGTGCATATGGCAAAGCTGAATACACACATCCAGTCTTCTGCTAATCTCTGTCAGATTTCAGATTTAGGGCTATTGTTCCTGAGTTAGGTGGGGTGTACACAGTATACAAGAAACGTATTCTGAATAAAGCATCAGTTACCAGTTGCTAAGACCTTTGAGCTTGATGAGCACTGCAGGGTTTGTTCTACCACTTCTAAGAGTCTAGCCCATATAATTTCTGATACAGTGAATTGTAGGTGTGCTCCTTGCATTATTCTTGTCTATTTTCTATTGTCTACTGCCAAGGCATGAGTATTTCTGGATTTTTGTACATCTGTTCACCAAAAGACAATCATGTAGTGAAAAAGGATGTGGAAGAGAAGCCAAATAACATCCCTCAAGTCAGTTTAAAGAAACTTGATATTTGGTTGTTTATAATCTCAGTATGTTAGTTGTTTGTTCTGTGATAAGAGCATTTTTGGTGTGGAGACTGAGCCACAAGACTAGTTGCAGCAATGCAGACAGTGTTTGTCTGTTATTTAGGGAAATGAACTGGGAACCGGGAAGGTCCTGGGTCCTAGACCAAGCCGAACTAATGACTCATCATGTAACTATGGAAAAGTGCATTTAACTCAGTTCTGCAACATTGCAGAAATCAGCCCAGCTGCCAAACTGAATCCAAGCAGGTTTTAAGTCTAAAGTCAGTGGCACATATGGGAAAGATGAATCCTTTTTTTTTATTCTGGGTAAATAAATGTAAATTCTGCATTATTGTCTCTTGAACCGTTGTTTTATGGTATAGCTGTGGTAATATTCTTGTACAGTCAAAGGGATATTTTGAATTAAATGGAACCTCCCCCCCAAAAAAAAACCTTCCCACTCCTTCCATGAAATTTATGGGGAAGCAGATATGACGGATAAAGAAACATCCAGTGAAAAAACTGTCATTTATTTTTTTAGGGTACAGGATATCTTAATTCAGCCATTCTAAGTTTCAGATTTTGTAATCTACAGATACAAGCACACTATATTGAGTTATAGATTTTTTTCCCCTGAGTAGGTAAGTAATTAAAAGAGCTTTTTGGTAGAAGTAGGAATTGAAATATATCGTGTGAGTTTTATGAGTAGGAATTATAATGCTTCTTCTGTTTGAATTTTTTTGGTGGTCTTAACATGCATTGGGACATCTTAAAAAAAAAAATCTTTTGCAGGTCCTTTCTTTTCTCATACAAGAAAACATATTAAGACATTTTCCTAATCAGAAGTATATGAGAAGAGATTATCACCAATAGTTGACTATCAGTTTTTATATCCACAAGAAAGAGATTGGTCTTTTACTGAATACTTTCTTCTATATTTTAGATTACCTTCCTTGACTCCATTGCAAATAGTAAAACTTTCACAGATACCTTCATATAGTCCTGATATGTTAGATCCTCTACTGTACCTTCTTTATCTGCTATACCTTTACCCAAGGCTTTTACCAGTGGCAACACTGATCAACTCAGAGCAGAGAGAAGGCAGCTTCAGGGAAGAGATTAAGTTTTGAAATCTAAAGTGAAAAGTGAAATGGGTCAGTGAGAAAGCTAGTTCTCATGGGCTTTTTCTTGACTGAAATAGAAAGGAAATAGTGGGTGTTGCATCTGACCAAGCAGTTAGCAGTAAACATTTCCATGATCAAATGCAGTTCTTTCTCCAGTTTGTTGCAAATCTCTTACCCATTCTTCTCACTTTTAAGGAAATACCAGTCCAGTCCCAAGAAGAGGTTCTGAAAAACTGCATAGCAAATTTCCACATTTAATATTTCCACTAGAGTCATTTGTCTAACAGGCAACTCTGAAAACTGAGTCAGGGCTGTAAGCCTTGTACTGGACTGGACTTACCCTTCAGCATGTATGATAAAAGCAGTATCAGTCAATCTGTGC